GTCAAACACAGACAGTGTCTGAACAACTCTCAAAGTAAGAGAGCAATATATTCTGTTTGCACACACTCCATGATTTTGCCTTGTTCCAATGCTGCTAACAAGAGGTTCAACTTTGTATGTAAATAGCAGGGGCATATCCTGACTTTTCATAAAGAGCATGCTGCTAAACACTAATTTTTACTAAAAACCTGGTGTAATATTTTCATATTAATATACAGTTATATATAGTTACATATTGCAGCATGTAAAATAATGAAATGCACACAATAAATGTTAAAAATTCATCAGATTAAGATCTCAAATGATGATACAGAAATATTTTCTCTCATAACTCACTTTTCAAGCTCTCACTAATAATTTATATCCTTGGGTCATAATTCAATTTTCCTTGACTGATGCATTGGCACTATACTATATTTCCAAATATAATTAGTAAATATATGTTAATCAATTAATTCATCCTAGCACATAGTAAAAGTTACACACTGGTATAGTTAATGCTGATATTGGCAAAATCAACAACTCAGTCTTTTAAATTTCTCTCATCATGCTACGAATACTGATGGCATTTACACATTGTAAAAATTTGGTGCAAGTTTACTTGCAATTTCAAGAGGAAAAAAAAAAAAAAAAAAGACATTCAATTCAAAAATTCAAATAATTCGTAAGACTAGTGTTAGATAAATTTAATAAAATTTTGGATAATCTGGAATTAGAGAAAGGAAGAAATATAGTTAAGAAATTTCTCTGTGTTCGAGAAAGTTCACAAATTTGCTTTTTATTACAGTAAAGCTTCTCACTTATTTATTTTTTTTTTTTTTGGACACAATAGTTTTACAATATAGGTAATTGATTTCACATTTTTCAATACACATTCTGTTTGGAGGAAAAAATGTTAATTTTGTGACCTGTGTCTACCTTTCAACTGAAATAAACTAAGAAATCACTATTTTAAATGCCATTCATATATATTTTTAACTACAAATTATAAATTCCTTCAGTTCAAGCAATATGAAAAATTTATGCTAAATTGCCTACATCTACCTTTACTTAATTTTACCAGTTTTATATAATTTTTATCTGTTTGTGTAATATCAGCAGACTGATCAAGGTATCTTGTTTTATGAAGGCACACTTGTAATTTATCAATCAATTTAAAATTTTATTACTCTTATTAGCATATCATGAGATTTTCATTTGTTTAATTTACTTAAGATCTACTCTTTATCTCTGGTATGTAAAAAAAGCTCTAAGGATGTTCTAATGCTATAGCCAGGACTCAATTTCTAAAAATTAGAAGAGCTGGAACTTCTATAGAATGGCCGCAGAAACAAGGATGAAAAATAAAATAAATAGATAAAGCAATAAATATGGAAAAATATTAATAACTAAGCAAATTCAAACACTTTAGCAATAATAATGATGAAACTCCCATAATTTATTAATAAATACCACATGTACATTTAAAGAAATACCCACCCATCGTTCTAGCGAAAAAATTCAACATTCATTAACAAATACCACTGCACATTTAAAGAATTGTCAGCAAGCCAGCGAGTCTTTCACCTCAAGTTAAGCAAAAGCTCATTAAAAATCATCTTTGGCTCAGTTCAAGTACATCAAATCTACATGTATCTCAAATTCTAAGAGTATTTAATGCCATAAATATTAGTTCCTAAAATATTCCAAACACAAATGTATAAAGGACGGGGTGAATGAGAAAACACTCTGTCATAGTGGCATGCCAGCTTGTCTGCCTGACAGTCTGTGCAAAAGGGATAAAACAGATGCTAATAGCACACTGAACTTGTTAAATTTATAACTTATTATGACAAAAGAAAACCTTTCTTTAATGTCATAAATTATTACCTAACTAGTTTTCTGGTATTATGTAGTTTGAGTATGTTTTGTATTTTTATCTTCATATTTAATACACATGCCCATTAATTATCATACTTAACTCATTTTTATTTTCCACAGCATGATTAAATTCGAAATAAAGGTTGTAATAAGTTCTTTAAAAGCCCCTCTGTTTCATCTTCAGCTAACTCCAAACTTCTAAAAAAAGATGCTTAATATTACAGGTTTAATACATTAATACGGAATTGTGAAATAAGCCTAGAAATAAGAATAAACATCAATTAAATAAACCAACTTTAAACTTACATGTAAAGTTTGAAGCAAAAAATGTGCCTCTGCATAACAATAATCCCTAAAACATAATATAAATTGCATTAAATTCATTGCTAAACAGCAAACACTCATTTCTTCTTGCTTGAATGCTATTACAGAAAACTAGTCAATTATCTTACGCAGCAGCAGAAAATTTTTTTTTCTTTGCTCTCGTGAAATACATTACTTCATTAATGATAGATGCATGCAGATTGACAGAATTAGAGAAGACGCAAAAACGTGAACTCGTCCTGTTCCGAATTTCGGTTTCTAAATAAAGTAAACGATGCAATGCAAAACTGTATACTTAAAGAATTAATAAGAATTTATATTACTAATTCTTTTTTTTAAGGCTATTTTAAATTTATATGCACGTGCTGCACGAAAAGAAAAAAAAACATGATCAACAAGATTTTTATTTTGCAAATCTTACGCTATTGCTACTTAATACTACTTTATCCTGAAGAAAGATGAGTCTAAACACTTAAATAAAACATATTACCTTGCTAAATATTCATAGTTATCTATTTGATTAAACTATTATATTACTTTACACTGCAAAAGATTCCTTTACTGAAATTCTTTGCACGAAATAAATAATAATTATCTGAAAGACTTCAGATTTTATATTATACCCAAAAAGGGGCTTTTTTTTTTTTTTTTCGTTTACACAAACACATTTTGAGAGCATTTGGGCTAAGGTCACTTTAGGCTACAAATGTTTAAAACCAGCATATCTTTAGAATTTCTGATAGACAGTCTTGTGCACTGGAGATAATTTTGGTAGAAGTATAATTTAGGGTTCCCCTTGGCGAAACTTGGCAGTACATGGATATCGAGTTTGTGCTATGCTTTGATGCATTTTGGCCTGTGTAGTGGCGATTTTAGTGCAAAAATTACCGCTACGCAAGTAAAAAAATAACAAGTCAAAGAATTGCACAAACTCTATGATGTACACGCTGACCTATTTTCACTTAAAAAAAATCCCCAGATTGCACAAAAATGGCATTGTGCACTCCCTTGACTTTATCTATGTACACATCAACCTATTTTCACTTTAAAAAAAATCCCCGAATTGCACAAACTATGCTTTACGCAATCCCTCGAGTTCGTCTATGTATACATCGATATATTTTGACTTCAAAAGTCAAAGGAGCACCCAATTCTTCAGTAGAGGCAAACAAAAACATACTTAATCTAAAAAAACTTCATTTTAAACCAAACAATAAAATAACACAAAAAAGGAAAAACCTGTTATGTATTTTAGCACAACACAAAGAAAAAATCCCCTTACCTTATTTAGAAATTTGTTCGTCTTCAGTCTGTGGCACACAAAATTCCTTAACAGCATCCAAAAACTTATTACAATCTGTACATCAATGTCGCCACAGAAATTCACAAAAATAACAGTAAAAAATATACTACGCAGTTCCAGACTACGGCTGCTAAGTAAACCTTCACTTACACAATTAATTTTCTCAATTAATGCATTTTTCCACTTTCGTTCCAAATCATACAGAAACTTCAAATTAATCCTACTACATTCAGCCATTGTACCGGCTAAACAATGAAACAAGCAATGTACTTCCTAAGCAACACACAATACAAAAGCTTTTGCAAAACATCCCATAATTCAAAATGTCCCAGAATAATGCAAACGATTATGTCATAATAGGGTTTCCATAACATTCAACTATTCAGGTTACCATAAATGATACAACTTGGCGATAATACAAGGGATACTTTAAAGTCAAAGTCTAACCATATTTTTTTTTTTTTTTTTTTTCCTGTACTGTTGCCATTACTTGATTTGAAATCATTGAGTTTGTCAATCAAAAATTCTTTAGAGTTTTAGAAAATATGAAGCAGACAAAGAAAATTCAAAATTTGGCTTCCAGATGCCGATATTCAGTGGAGGATTATGCTATTCAAAATTTGATGGCTCTAGGTATCATTAATATCATACTGCGAGGAACATACATACATTCTGCAGATTCTCATTATTTAATTTCTTTACACATAAATACAAGGCAAGAATATTTGGCAGCAACAATTTAAAGAGTGATATGCCGTTTACAGTGAACCGATGGCATTTCAAGACTAGCCCTTCTGGGCTAAAAAAAGGCGTGCAAACTTTATATTCATTGCAACAAATAAATTTCATATTGCATAAATGATAACATCCTATTAGATCTGCCTGCTTACTTTTATTACAGATTTTAGTACGCTTTTGAATAATCCTTTTTCAATCAACTCTCTTATATGAAAAACCAAAATTCATCATATATTAACGCATGAAATTATACTAAAAATTAAATTATCAAAATATTGTTTCTAATTTATTAACAAAGTATAAAAAACACTGCAAATTGTGGCTTGATATTACATGTCATATTGATTCTTTTTTCTAATATAATTTTAATCAGGGATTCATAATTATTTTTTTAAGTGCTGTGTATGCTTCTAACCCTATTTTAAATACGACAAATAATTACAACACTATTATCATTTAAAATAGTAACATATTTAATGCAAAATCATGTCCGTTTCTTAGCCGGGTATACAAACCTCAATTTGATGCAACATTGTTTTTTCAGATATATGCATATAACAGTGAGGTATTAAATAATTACATATTATTATGTAACTTTAGAGTTTTCCTTTCTTGAAATGCAGTTTCGAAAGTTTCTAACTTCTGTTTGACATTTTCTCCAATCTTTAGTTTCAGCAATGCATTCCTGAAAATAAAATTCCATATTTTTTGTATGCCATAAAATAATCACCTAACACATACTTGATAATTAAAAAATAATAATAATAAAGTGGCATACATGTACACTGAAATTTATTATAATGTAAATGCATTATTTTACAATTCAAGCTAAAGTTTTCAAAAAGATTTAAAATATCTATACTGAAACAAATTTCTCACAAAACCATTCAGAAAGTTCACTTACATATATTCCACAAAACAAATTACTATTAAATATGTCATCCTGTTTCATAATATACAAAAAAGAAAAAAGAAAATTTATTGAAGTGTACTACATGAATTTTACAATAACGAACAATTATATGTTACTCGTTAATTCTCAAACGATTATTGTACACTCCGCTAGTTTAAATTTGCATGAATCAGCAATTAAAACTAAAATGGGGAAAGCAACTGGAGAATTAATTGCATACAGCCTTACACACAGCAAGAAATAATTACATAAAACTTGTTGATTACTACCATATGGAGCTATTCTCTTGCACACCTTTTCACAATTCTTATGTGAATAAGAATACCACATTAAAAAGAACTGTTTCTATTATAAAATGATTCTGAAACTTTATTCCTTTCTACTACTTTAAGATCAGTTTTATCGAGTTTCAGCTTTATGTTTAGGAGGGCGAAATTCTTTAACTTTTTTAGATTTGCTTCCCAACTGAAAGGCTTTCCAGCTATTGATTCTGTTTTCCCGACTCTCTTCATAATTTTTTTGCCATTCTTTATCAACCTTCTTTTTCTCTTCTTCCTCAATTTCCTCCTCCCTTTTTCTTTTCCTGTCTTCCATACTTCGCTCTTCAGTTTGTCGCCTTTTTCTTTCAAGATCAGCAAAAAGTTTCATAGTTAATACATACACTGCATGCTTATATTTTACAGGATCATCTTCGTCAACTTTGGATCCTTTACCAGCTTTCCGCTGCTTTTTTCTTTTCTCTTCTATCATTTGATCAGTGCGCCCCTTGGCCTCTTCCACTATTTCCAACGCTTTAGCACGCTGTGTGTCATCTTCTAAACACTTATATGCCTTATTAACAATATCAAATGCTTGCTGGGCTCTATCTCGATCGTCAGGATTTTTGTCAGGATGCACTAAAATGGACAACCTTCGATATTGTTTTTTAACTTCTTCCAATGGAGTTTCTGGTTCCAACTGCAAGACTTCAAAAGGGTTTAAGTTGAAATATGTGCTTCCAGGTCGCAGCAAACGATCTATTTGCTGCTTCGGTGTTAAAACTGAATCTCTTTTCTCAATTTCTTTAACTTCAGCTATGAAATTAGAAAACAAAGCTTCGGTGGGTTCAGTTGTGGGCAAAGGTATATTCAGCTGCGCCATTGTAGATAATCAAACCTTATCTGCAAACTCAGTAAATTTCTTCGGAATCAGTCGTTCAATTTTACACAGTTTTGGAAGAATTATATTTCAAAACTGTAAAATTGCATTTTCATACCTGAACTTTATAGTGCAGTTCCGCGCATCCAGTTTCGTTCAACAACTTATCGACCAAATCTACATCACCTTCCGTAGATTTTTCTACACTATGCCCAGTATTCTTGACTGAGGATGATGAAGCCATACACAAATCATACAATAACGACTAATGAGACTGTAGATGACAGAAAGAACAAAATGGCAATACTAACAATACAATCAGGACAAACGCTAAGTGTTGCCAATCAAATATCCTGCTAAGTTGTATCTTGCAAGTTTTATGAATATCGCCCTTCTCTTTCATCTTTTGTATCTATCTCAAGCCTAGAGTTTTTTTATAATCTTGCCTCTTAGATTTATGATTTCAGCCTCCTTTTTATTCTGCTCTTTTTAAAGATCAAATGAGAGGACATTATCTATAATCTCAAACAAACCGTCAACCCTTTTCGTTTTGTGGGCTAAAAGACTTCATGGAAGGAAAAGAATTGTTTGTTTGTGTTGATATTCCGCCAGTGTTCCTTTTTGAGAATTGCTGATTGAGATTGACGTGAGCATGCAGAAACTGACATTAGAAGATGACAATATTAAAATGGAGCCTGAATTCTCCCATCTTCCTGATTCTGATACTTATATTAAAAAACTAGGCAAGACACATTCAACTGTAATAATATTATTTGTCATAAATGTAGTCATCGCATTTGTGATTTAACTTGATTATTTTGCAAGTGCTTTTATGTAATGGTTTAAAAATGCATAATTTTTGCATATATTCATGAAAAATAGGAATTTACTGTTTCTTGTTGTTATTGTTGTATTGTTGCAAGAATGCAGTACTGCCTTAACAGCTTTCTGGGCCCATGGGCAAAGAAGGGTGCTGGTACGGAAGCGCTTCCACAAGGAACCCGATAAATGTAAACACCGCTAACAATGAGATAATAGTTTCGCATGTTTGGAAGTAGTAACCACTCCTCTTACGTTGTTTTTGGTTCCTTAAATTGCTGTTCATGATAACTCATTGTTTGCCTTTGCACGTGTAATTTATTCTGCACTTATTCACTATTATTTTGTCTTATTTCTGCACTATCTTTTCTGAATTTTTTAGCAGTGAATAAACGGAATTATTTTCGTTCAATTAAGGAAGAAGTCGGTGGTGCATCTCAGAAAGATTATTCCTTTCATTGAAAACATGTTCACAGCAAACAACATATCTGTGAAGATTCTGATGCTGCTGATTAAGAAGCATATGGCATAGAGAACAAGTATTACGACTGATGAATAGCTGACATACTCATTCTTAGGTGTGTGTATAATGTGCATCAAACTGTTAATCACTCCACAAAGTTCTTTAATCCAGCAACTGATGCACATATCCAGTCTAAAGAATCGAACAGGTTATCTCTGAAAGTGAAATTAAAAAAAAAAAAAAAAAATTCTCTTCATAATGGCAAGATCCATTTATAAAAAATTTAAACAATTAAAGATTATATCCTTTTAAGGTAATACATCTCCAGCAATTTATTTAGTGCCATAATTTTTTTTAAAAAAGGGGGACCCTTTTTCAGGGCCATAAAAATCTGAAAAAAAAAATGAAGTATTTCTAGATATATAAGGCTATAAGTTTTTGAAAACTCAATAGAATTAATTAGAAATATATTTCAATACTAACAATTTACTTTTTGAATGCTAATCTTTACTTACATATGCTTAACATCATGCAATTCTATCATCCTGAATTTAATTGCATTAAATAGCATTTTTAATCAGTTAATTTTTAATTGCATATGCTTAGTGTTTTTCTGCATGAGTGTTTTCTGCTGAGTTTAATTGTACAGTACAAAGTGTGAGATCCGGACTCGTCGGGACTTCGGCAATTCCGAATTTGGAATTTTTCCGGATATTAGATCATCAGTCTAAATCTAGTAAGATGGCATGCAGAAATTATAAAATTATATGAAATAATGAAGCATTTGTGACCTTAAGGGAATCAAAATTTACCAAAAAAAAGGGGGCTGAATATTTATTTGTTGCTTTATTAAACGTTCCTTTTAGTGTAAGTTAAGTAACTATGCTTTTTATGCTAATACTTTTTCTTTAATTCTGTAGAGAGCTATCATTTCTTATTCAGTTACCAAGTTCTATTGTTCAAGTCTTGCAATTGCTGGGTCGAGAATTCCGACTAACTTATCAATCGAAATTTTTTCATTTTCAATAACCTCTCTGTCTCTTTCTTCACTATTGGTAGTGGTATTTTCTGTATCTAGAACCATACTACAGATGTCACCTAAGAGATTAGGGCATTGATTGATGATTAGGTCATTGTCATCGCAATGAAAACTTCTGTTAACTACTCTTCTTCCCTAAATTCTGCTGCTCGGGGTGGCCATGCAGCTTTGGCTTTATGTCAACAACAAATCAGTTATTCTTAATTCAAAAAGCACTAAATGTAATCTTTTGGCCTTTGAGTATCATTAACAAAATCTATTTTTAGCGTATGAAAAGAAATTTTTGTTAAATCTTTCTTTGTCAACATTTCTTAGTGCATTTAACTTATATTTGTAATCGCCACCAATCATAATGTCAACAGAAAAGATTACCATACTCTTTTGTTATTCAATTACTAATATAAAAAAACATTGTTTAGGCATCACTGCACGAGTCATTACTCGAATTGTAAAGTGTTGATAAACTTGCGGTAATGAAAGAAAAATATAAATATCGCCAAGTTGTTGTCTCATTTATGACAACTTGAGTAGTTGAATGCTATGGAAACCTTATTATGACGTAATTGGTTGCAGTGAATTTGAATCATGGAAAAAAATTTGGAGAGTGTGTGTCAAATTTTTGGGTAAGGGCTTGTGTGTGATAGATTAGTATGTTGTTATTTTGTGGTTTACACGATAAATTGGCTGAATGTGGTAAGATTAATTTGAAGTTTCTGTAGGATTTTGTAACAAAAGGGAAAAAATCATTAATTGACTGGTGTGTAAATGAAGGTTTACGTAGTAGCCATTATTAAGTGTCCTGTTTGGAGGAAGGAAATGCGTATGGTCGAACATCGGATATTTTCGAACGGAGGATATTTTTACTCTTATTTTTGTGAATCTATGTGGTGACACCAGTATACAGATTCTAGTTCAGATAATTTTAGGAAGTGTTTGGATGCTGTTAAGGAATTGTGTTTGACTGAAGACACATAAATTCATAAATAATGTAAGTGGATATTTCCTTCATGTAGTGCTAAGATGAATTTCCTTTTTTATGCTATTTCATTGTTTGGTTTAAAATGTAGTTTATTCAGATTAGGCTGCTCCTTTGAGTTTTTAAATGAATATAGTGTGCCATTGGCAGTACTCCCTTGACTTTGTCCATGTGTACAAAGCCTAGTTTGTGAAATTCTGTGATTTTTTTAAACTGAAAATAGGTTGATGTGTACATGGATAAAGTCAAGAGAGTTCGCAATGTCATTTTTGTCCAATTCGGGGATTTTTTTTTTAAAGTGAAAATAGGTCGATGTGTACATGGATAGATACTAAGTTTATGCAATTCTTTCTCTTATTATTTTGGGTTTGTGTAGCGGCGATTTTTACACCAAAAATTACCGCTACGCAAGCCAAAATAACAAGTCAAAGAATTTCACAAACTCAGTATCCATGTACCGCCAAAAACCGTTAAGTTTCGCCAAGGGATACCTTAAAATATACATTAACCCCAAAATGTTTTGGTTTGAGATGTGTGCCAAGCAAATATGCAGATACGGAGTCAAATTATTGATCTCACAAATTTATGCTAAAAGGATTATTTTCTTCAATAATCATGTATTTTATTTAGTGCCAAAGTGAGATTAAGAATCTGGACTCTCCACATATTTTATTATGGGGGGGGAGGGAATCAAATGCCTAAAGCATTCCAAAAAATTCCCTAAAAAAATGATTGGTGTTGGCTTTGAGGTCTGGATATTGGACGTCGAGATCTCGAACTTTGTACTGTATTAATTATTATGTTTAACAAGCTAAAATTGATTTGCATATGCTTAATATGTTTAATCAACTAATTTTTAGCTAAATTTAATTTACATACAGTAGTGGCCAAAATTATGGACACTTTTGGAAATTTTTATGTTTTTGAACTTTATATGCTTATAGAAACTGTTACGTTTCGCAAAATGCAAACTTGTATATATCATTTTAAAGGGAATTTATTACTGAATTCAATACAAAACACAAAATTCAATTATTTGCAATACAAAAAAGTTATATGTACTTTAATATAAATAAAAAACACAGTTATGAAGTGGTTTGTAATGTCTAGCTTTCTTGGCCAATCACTGTTCTTGTTCTGAGAACCAATCAAATGTTAGTAACTGACCTTGCAGTTACAAGTAGGAATTTTTGTAAAAATTTTTAATATTTAGTCAAGAAGCATGACATCCCCAATAAAAAAGAGTAGACTGGACACCTAGAAAGAGATGTAATATTATTGTGTTACGAGAAAGTGGTTTTTCCTATACTGAAATTGAAGACAGGTGGGTGGTTCAGTGACTACATCTGGAGTCCGAAAGTTTTGTTTACGATATCAGGAGACAAATTCAATAAAAAATAAAGAAGGAAAAGACCAAAAAAAGGTGCACCACATCTATTGATGACAGAAGAATAAAAAGACTATGTCTCCAAGATAGAAAAATGTCATCAGCGGCCATCAGAAGTGATGTGGAGGATGCTGGTATTGCTGTCAGTTCAAGAACAATCAGGAGAAGATTAACAGATGTTGGACTGAGAGGTAGAATTCCACAAAAAAAGCCTTATCTTAATTTTCAGCAATGAAAAGAAAGACTACCGTGGGTAAAGGAACACATTAATTGGACAGATAATCAGTGGTCACAAGTTATATGGAGTGATGAAACTAAGATAACGTTATTCAGTAGTGATGGGCGAAAATATGTAAGACGTCGAATAGGACAAGAGCTACATCCTGACTGCATTCAAGCAACTGTGAAGAACCCAGTTAGTGTTATGATTTGGTCATGCATGTCAGCAGATGGTATTGGTCGCCTTCATGTCACCGATGGGACACTGAATGCCAGAAAATACATTGACACTATTCTAGGACTAAAACTTCTACCTTCCATCAGAGATCTCTTCTCAACAATGCTTAATTTATTTTTCAGCAGGATTCTGCTCCTTGCCACATGGCCAAAATATCGAAAGAGTGGTTTCGTACAAAGAGCATTAAATTGTCATGGCCAGGAAACAGTCCTGATGTCAATCCTATCGAAAATTTGTGGCACCGTTTGAAAACTCTTGTCCGAATGAAGTGCCCATCAAATAAAAGGGAACTAATTGAGGCTATAATTGTTTACTGGCATCATCTAATAACGAAAGAAGAGCTTAAAACTCTTGTCAGCTCAATGATATATTTTTTGTTTATATAATTTTACTATTGGTCATGAAACATCGATGTGAAGCTGTAATAAAAAATAAAGGGTACCCTACTAAGTACTGATAACTGACTGCAATCATCACTATCTAATGCATATCGATAACTATTATCGTTTAACTTTTTTTTTTTTTTTTGTATTGCAAATAATTGAATTTTGTGTTTTGTCTTGAATTCAGTAATAAATTCTCTTTAAAATGATATATACAAG